GCAATACAATCATAGTAGGGGATCTTAACACCCCATTATCTCCACTGGACAAATCCTCTAAACAGAAACTCAGCAAAGAAACATCAATCCTAAATGACTCACTAGATCAGATGGAATTAATTGACATCTTCAGAACATTTCACCCCAAAGTCACAGAATATACATTCTCCTCGGGTGCACATTTGTCATCTTCAAAGATAGACCATATATTGGGTCACAGACAAAGTCTCTTCAAATTCAAGAAAATTGAAATCATATCAAGTATCTTCTCAGACCACAAAGGCATAAAACTGGAAATCAACTACAACAAAAACAATCCAAAAAAATCAAACACATGGAGACTAAATAGCATGCTATTAAACAATGACTGGGTCACCAGTGAGATCAAAGAAGAAATAAAAAAACATCATGGCAACAAATGACAATGAAAACACAACAATCCAAAACCTATGGGACACAGCAAAAGCAGTCTTGAGAGGGAAGTTCATAGCTCTACAAGCCTACTGCAAGAAACAAGAAACAATGAGAATAAATGACCTAACTCTACAACTCGAAGAATTAGAAAGAGAGCAACAAAAAAAGCCCACTGTAAGCAGAAGGAAGGAAATAACAAAGATCAGAGCGGAGATAAACGACATAGAGACCAAAAAAACAATACAAAAGATCAACAAAACCAAGAGCTGGTTCTTTGAAAGGATAAACAAGATTGACACACCTCTAGCCAGGCTCACCAAGAAACAAAGAGAGAGGACCCAAATAAACAAAATCAGAAATGAAAGAGGAGAAATAACAACAGACCCCATAGAAATAAAAAGGATTGTTAGAAAATACTATGAACAACTCTACTCCAACACACTAGACAACCTGGAGGAAATGGATATATTCCTAGGTAAATACAACCTTCCAAAACTTAACCAGGAAGAATCTAAAAATCTCAATAGGCCAATAACTATGGAGGAAATAGAAGCAGTAATCAAAAAGCTTCCAGCAAACAAAAGCCCGGGGCCAGATGGCTTCACAGGGGAGTTTTACCAAACATTCAAGGAAGACCTAAAACCTATCCTCCTCAGACTATATCAAAAGATCCAAGAGGAAGGAGCACTTCCCAGCTCATTCTATGAAGCCAACATCACCCTAATCCCAGAACCAGATAAAGACAATACAATGAAAGAGAATTATAGGCCAATATCCCTTATGAACATAGGTGCCAAAATCCTCAACAAAATCCTAGCAAATCGGATCCAGCAGTACATCAAAAAGATCATACACCATGACCAAGTAGGATTTATCCCAGGGATGCAAGGATGGTACAATATCCGCAAATCAATAAATGTGATACATCACATAAACAAATTGAGAGAGAAAAACCACATAGTCATATCAATTGATGCGGAAAAAGCATTTGACAAAATCCAACACCCTTTCTTTATAAAAACCTCAGCCAGATAGGAATCGGGGGAGCATACCTCAACATAATAAAAGCCATATATGACAAACCCACAGCCAACATCATAGTCAATGGGCAAAAACTAAAACCGTTCCCCCTAAAAACAGGAACAAGACAGGGATGCCCCCTCTCACCACTCCTGTTCAACATAGTACTGGAAGTACTAGCCGTTGCGATCAGACACGAAGAAGAAATAAAAGGCATCCAGATTGGAAAAGAAGAAGTAAAAATGTCCTTATTTGCAGATGACATGATACTGTACATACAGAACCCTAAAGACTCCATCAAAAAATTATTAGACTTAATAAATGAATTTGGCAATGTAGCAGGATACAAAATTAATGCTAAGAAATCCATGGCATTTCTTTACACCAATAGTGAACTTACAGAAAGTGAAACTACAGAAGCAATCCCATTTACCATTGCACCAAAAAAATTAAAATACCTAGGAATAAACTTAACTAAGGAGGTAAAAGACTTATATGCTGAAAACTACAGGACACTGAAAAAAGAGATAGAGGAAGACATAAACAGATGGAAGAATATACCGTGTTCATGGATTGGTAGAATCAACATCATCAAAATGTCCATACTACCCAAAGCAATTTATAGATTCAATGCAATCCCCATTAAATTACCAACAGCATATTTTACAGATCTAGAACGAACGTTCCAAAAATTCATCTGGAATAAAAAAAGACCCCGAATAGCTGCAGCAATCCTGAGAAAGAACAAAGTAGGTGGGATCTCAATACCAGATATCAAACTGTATTACAAAGCCACTGTTCTTAAAACAGCCTGGTACTGGCACAAGAACAGACATATAGATCAATGGAATAGAATAGAGACCCCAGAAATCAACCCAAACCACTATGCCCAATTAATATTCGACAAAGGAGGCAAGAGCATACAATGGAGTCAAGACAGTCTTTTCAATAAATGGTGATGGGAAAATTGGACAGATACATGCAAAAGGATGAAACTAGATCACCAACTCACACCATACACAAAAATAAACTCAAAATGGATAAAAGACTTAAACGTAAGACGGGAAACCATAAAAATACTAGAGGAATCCACAGGCAGCGAAATCGCAAACATATGCCGAAGAAATTTCTTCTCTGATAATGCTCCTAGGGCAATGGAAACTAAAGAGAAAATAAACAAATGGGACTACATCAAAATGAAAAGCTTTTGCACAGCAAAGGAAACCATCAACAAAACAACAAGAAGACCCACTACATGGGAGAACATATTTGCCAATGATACCACCGATAAGGGTTTAATTTCCAACATTTACAGGGATCTCATGAAACTTAACAAAAGGAAGATAAACAATCCAATAAAAAAATGGGCAACGGACCTAGATAGACACTTTTCGAAAGAGGACATACAGAAGACCGAAAGACATATGAAAACCTGCTCAAAGTCACTAATTATACGAGAGATGCAAATCAAAACGACAATGCGTTATCATCTCACACCTGTCAGAATGGCTATCATCAACAAATCAACAAACAACAAGTGTTGGAGAGGATGTGGAGAAAAAGGAACCCTTCTGCACTGCTGGTGGGAGTGCAGACTGGTGCAGCCACTGTGGAGAACAGTATGCAGCTACCTCAGAAGACTAAAAATGGAACTCCCATTTGACCCAGTGATCCCACTACTAGGAATATATCCCAAGAAACCAGAAACGCCAATCAGAAAGGATATATGCACCACTATGTTCATAGCAGCACAATTCACCATAGCTAAGATTTGGAAACAGCCTAAGTGCCCATCAGCAGATGAGTGGATTAGAAAACTGTGGTACATATACACAATGGAATATTATGCTGCGGTAAAAAAAAAGGAACTCTTGCCTTTTGCAACAGCATGGATGGAACTGGAGAGCATTATGCTAAGTGAAATAAGCCAGTCAGAGAAAGATAAATACCACATGATCTCACTCATTTGTGGATTATAGAGAACAACATAGACTGATGAAAAGGGACAGACCCAAAGACTGAGAAACAGCAATCAGGCTATCAATCCCCAGAAGGAAAGTAGGGGAGGGCGGGGGTAAGGGGAAGAGATCAACCGAAGGACTTGTATACATGTATATAAGCCAAACCAATGGACATGGACAACAGGGGGATGGGAGCATGAGTTTGTGTGTGTGGGGGAGGCTGGGGGTTAATGGGGGGGATGAGGACACATTTGTAATACCTTAACTAATAAAAAAAAAAAAAGAGTCAAATTCTTTTTCAAATACCTTAGCTTGATAATACATGATCCTGGGGACTAACTGGACAAGGATACAATAATCTTGAGAGCGGTTGAAGGCCTGGGCTGCTAAACATGGAGTAAGCCCTGTATTACAGGCCCACCATCCCCCTATTGGGGGTACTAAGTAAAAGCTTGCAGAGGAGGGATTTGCTAAGATCTCATTGCAGAGATGCTGGCGATCTTTTGGCACTTGTCCTATACATGTGCCCTGCCCCGAGACCTCAGTAAGGGTCAGCTTCCCCTGCTGTCCCCACGAACAATGGTCATGGCTGGTGGTGTTGGTATAGTTTCCCCGGAAGGCTATTCCTTCATAGTAGGGAGGCCCCGTTGTTAGACAAAGCCAGCAAGACTCAGTCAGGTCAGATTTGGACATGTTCAGGAAACTGTAGGCCCCCTCTACTAAACCTAACAGTCTTTGACCAGTGCTAGACTCTGAGTTTATGGGGTCTGCCGGTTCTTCTCTGGGAGCTGGGCTGGTCGTTACCGGCACTGAGGTTGTGGGGAGGAGCCTCTTTCTCTCAGGGAACTGCCGGCCGGACAAGGCGGGATTTGGTCCCACCGCTACTGGTGGCCTGTATTCTTGTACATTCAATATTATTTTAAAAAGGAGGCCATCATCATGTTGGTTCTTGTACAGTCGGAGCCCCCAAGTTATTCCCCGGCGCCATTTGTTTAATTCATATGACCTCCCGGCCAGGGTAAAGGAGATATTCAGGGTGTTGACCCAACCCCCCCAGCCCCCAGTCCTGTAGCTACCTTCCCTTGGTCTCTTAACCTGGATGAGGTCCCACGCAGGGGGCCCTTCGATCCAGTATCCAGTACCAGTTGTCTCACATCCCCATCTGGCACAGAAATACTCTTGTTCAGACCCACAATTCTTTCTGTATCCCTGCCTGTCTTTAGGGCACACATAGAACGAGGTTCTCGAAAGACGCTCACGGGTCTGTTGGTTTCGGCATAGACCTGCATCGGCAACCCAGCTCCCCTCCCGCGCGCCAGTTGGCCTTCTTGGTCCCTGAATTGTTTTCTTGGTGTCGTCTATGCTAAGCTTTGGTATGTCCCACCGTATATGCCCTGCAGCCATGGCACAGAGATCTGGTGTTAGATCCGGCCACCAGGTCCCTGGCGGGGCTACGCTGGTGGTTGACCAAACAGTCTGTCCAGTGTGGGGGGACATTACCCTCCAAGTTAGTCTTTTTGGGGCATGGGGGGTGCTACTTATCAGCGGCAGGCTCAGCAGGAGGAGGGCAGCGGCGAATCCGTAGCTTGAGAGGGTTGTCTGTCTTCTCTGCAGCCCATCCATGGTAGGTGTCATCTGAAGGGGGTGCTCGCTTGACGTGGGAGGCGTGGATCCAAGCAGCTACGCCATCTACCTTGACCGCTGTCGGGGTTGTCAGCAATACCAGGTGGGGTCCCTTCCACCTCGGCTCGAGGTTGGCAGCTCGATGGCGTCTGATGTAGACGAAGTCCCCAACCTGGAACTGATGGGGAATCTGTAGTTCTCCTGGTTGGTAGAGGGCAGCCAGGGGGGTCCACACCTCCTTTTGGACAGTCTCGAGAGCCTTCAGCCTGGCAAGCAGGGATTGAGGGGTATGAGTGTCTGTGGGCACAGACCATGGGTCAGCGGATAGGGGCGGAGGGGCCCCAAACAGAATCTCGAACGGAGTTACTCCTAAGGGACCTGGAGTATTTCGCGCGCGGAAAAGAGCAAAGGGAAGGAGGACCGTCCAGTCTGCCACGCCAGTCTCTAAGGACAATTTAGTCATAGCCTCTTTTAACGTTCTGTTCATCCTTTCTACCTGACCTGAACTCTGGGGCCTGTAAGCACAATGTAATTTCCAATCCGCCCCCAGTATCTTGGCCATTCCCTGACTTACCTGGGCAACGAAGGCCGGACCGTTGTCTGATCCGATTACCTTTGGAACTCCAAACCGAGGGAAGATATCTTCCAAGATCTTCTTGGCGACTACGGTTGCAGTCTCCCTCTTGGTGGGAAAGGCTTCTACCCACCCTGAGAAGGTATCTATGAAGACTAAGAGATATTTATAACCGTAGCGGGCAGGTTTCACCTCTGTGAAATCTACCTCCCAGTAACTTCCTGGCCGATCTCCCCTCAGTCTTTGTCCCGCCCCGACCTGGGATGGGTGTATGTTTACTAGCTGGCATGCCTTGCATTGTTTGACTACTTCCTCTGAGAGGCGATCAAGTCCTTTGACATAATGTCCAGTGGCCTGGCTGGTGGAGCTGAGGTGTTTGGCCCCCAGGTGGGTGAGGCGATGTAGCTGTTGGAGGTAGGCAGTGGCCGCTTCCCTTGGTACTACCATCTTCTCCCCCGTGGTCCTCCAAACCCCGAGTTCATCCTTGTGGTATTTTCCTGGTTTTTTAAACAGGTCTTCCTCTTCCTCTGGGGTGTAGTGGGGGGCTTCTGGCTGGGATACCGTGGGACCGACAGCGAGGGCAAGTAGCCGGGGCCCGAGAGCGGCTTGTCTCGCTTGGGCGTCCGCCCTCCTGTTTCCCACTGCTATCTCTGAGGTCCCCTTTTGATGGCCGGGACAGTGGATGATAGCTACTTCCCGTGGGGCATGGACAGCCTCTAGGAGGTCAAGAATCTCTTGTTTATTCTTAATTTCTTTTCCTGCCGAAGTGAGGAGACCTCTCTGACGGTATATGGCCCCATGCACATGAGCAGTGGCAAAGGCATAACGGCTGTCAGTGTAAATATTGGCTCGGCTGCCCTCTGCAAGTCTGAGGGCCTGGGTCAAAGCAATTAATTCAGCCTTCTGGGCTGAAGTCCCTTCAGGTAGGCTACTAGCCCAAATAGTCCGGTCCCGATCAACTACAGCTGCACCTGCTACCCTCTTACCTTCATAGAGGTAGCTGCTGCCATCTGTGAATCAGGTGAGCTGAGGTCCTGACAGGGGAGAATTCTTAAGGTCCTTCCTTGGCCCTGTTTCTTCTGCTAGAATGTCACGGCACGAGTGTAGAACTTCTTTCCCCTCAGGATCTACTTCCGGCAATAGGGTTGCCGGGTTGAGGACCACCGGAGCCCCGAAGTGGACTCGATCTTCATTTAGCAGGAGACTCTGGTAGTGGGTCATCCGGGCATTGGACATCCACTGGTCCGGTGGTTGCCGGATAATACTCTCGAGGGTATGTGGGGCCACTACAGTCAGTTTCTGCCCCAAGGTAAGCTTGTCTGCATCCTTCACAAGCAGGGCAGTGGCTGCGATTGCTCTCAAACAGCCTGGCCACCCTCTAGCCACGGGGTCTAACCTCTTGGATAAGTAGGCCACTGGCCTCTTCCATGGGCCTAAAGTCTGAGTTAGGACCCCCCTGGCTATCCCTTTCCTCTCGTCTATGAACAGAGTAAAAGGCTTGGCCACATCTGGTAAGGCCAATGCCGGAGCAGAGAGGAGGGCCTTCTTGATGTTGTCAAAGGCCTTTTGATGAGTCTCCCCCCATTCGAAGGGATTCCCTTGTTTTGTCAGCGGGTAGAGGGGCTCTGCCAGGGTTGCAAAACCCGGAATCCAGAGGCGGCAGAATCCAGCTGTTCCCAAGAACTCGCGGACCTGTCGGGGGGTCTGTGGCCTGGGAATCTGGGTAACCGTGCTCTTCCGGGCCTCAGTGAGCCATCTCTTCCCCTCCTCTAGAGCATATCCCAAATAGGTTACCCTCCGCTGACATATCTGTGCTTTCTTGGCCGAGACCCGGTATCCTAGGCGAGAGAGCTCTAAGAGCAAAGCCCCGGTACCTGCTTCACAGTCCTCTTTAGTGGCTCCTGTGAGGAGGAGGTCATCTACGTACTGGAGAAGAGTGACGTGCGGGTGGTCAGCGCGGAAAGCAGCCAGGTCTTGGTGAAGGGCCTCATCGAAGATGGTGGGAGAATTCTTAAATCCTTGGGGAAGCCGGGTCCAGGTCAGCTGCCCCGTTATCCCCGAGTCTGGGTCTCTCCATTCAAAGGCGAAGATGTTTTGACTGGCGGGATGTAACCGTAGACAGAAGAAGGCATCCTTTAGGTCTAAAACTGAATACCACACGTGAGACGGAGGGATGGAACTTAGGAGATTGTAAGGATTGGGAACCGTGGGATGAATGTCTTGCACCCTCTGTTGACCTCTTTTAAGTCCTGCACTGGTCGGTAGTCATTAGTTCCAGGTTTCTTTACTGGAAGGAGTGGGGTGTTCCATGGGGAGTGGCATTTGACCAAGACCCCTAGGTGCAAGAGGCGTTGAATATGGACCTTGATCCCCCTCCAGGCCTCTTTTGCCATGGGATACTGTCGCACTGCAATCGGGGTTGCAGAGGACTTGAGTTCTATTATTACAGGGGGCCGTTTGACAGCCAGGCCCATCCCCGCAGTCTCAGCCCAGGCCTTAGGGTATTTATGTAACCACTCCGCTAACCCCTCACTCTGTTGGATTCTGTCCTCAAACAGCCGGTGCTCATCTTCGAGTTGAAGTGTCAAGAGGGTAATTGGTTCCCCATGCTGGGTCAGGGTCGGCCCCCGTGGGGTGAAAGTGATCTGGGCCCCCATTTTGGTTAGCAGATCCCTCCCAAGCAGAGGTGCAGGGTACTCGGGGATGACCAGAAACGAGTGGGTTACCCGTCCCGCTCCTAAGTCTACTGTTCTTCGGGTAGTCCATGAGTATTGTTCATTCCCCGTTGCCCCTATTACCCAGGAGGTCTTCTGGGAGACCGGCCCTAGTGGTTTCTTAAGAACTGAATACTGGGCTCCTGTGTCCACTAGGAAGTTGACAGGCTTCCCCTCCACCTTAAGAGTTACCCTAGGCTCGGGGAGGGGGTCCGAGCCCCGACCTCTTCAATCACTATCTTCCTGGAGTGCCAGCGCCTTTTTCGCTAGCTTCTTCGGGCATTCCCGCTTCCAATGTCCTTCTTCCTTGCAGTAGGCACATTGGTTTTTCCCTAACGGTGGCCTGTTGCCCAGGTTACCTACCTGCCTTCCCTTTCCTTTCTCCTGTGGTTTACTTCCTTCTATTGCTGCGGCCAAGATACGGGTTAGCCTTTTCTCTTCCCTTTTTTCCTTTTTCTCTTCCCTCTCTTCTCTCTCTCTCTCTTTCCGCTGCTCCTTCTCCGCCTCAGTCTCCCTCTTATGGTATACCTTCTCTGCCTCTTTAACTAAGTCCTGGAGGGTAAAATCCTGCAGTCCCTCAAGCCTCTGTAACTTTTTCTTAATATCTAATGCTGACTGCCCTATGAAGGCCATGGCTACCGAGGCCTTCTGTCCCTCCGAGGCGGGGTCAAAGGGGGTGTACCATCTGAACGCCTCCATCAGCCGCTCAAGAAAAACAGAGGGCGGTTCAGTGGGCCCCTAGATGACCTCTCTTACCTTAGCCAAATTCGTGGGGCGCCGGGCTGCCCCTCTGAGGCCAGCCACTAGAGTCTGGCGGTAGACCTTCAGGTGCTCCCTACCTTCTGCTGTGTTGAAGTCCCAGTCCGGTCTGGCCAAAGGAAAGGCCGCATCCACCAGATGGGGGAGTTGGGTCGGCCGGCTGTCAGGGCCGGGAGCGTTCTTTCGGGCCTCCAAAAGAATCCGCTCCCGTTCTTCTGTAGTAAAGAGAGTCTGGAGAAGCTGCTGACAGTCGTCCCAAGTGGGCTGGTGAGAGAACATAAGGGACTCGACTAATCCTGTTAGGCGTTGGGGATCCTCTGAAAAGGGAGGGTGGTTAGTTTTCCAGTTATAGAGGTCTGCCGAGGAGAAGGGCCAGTATTGGAGTGGCTGGAGCGGGGCCGACTCGTCATCATCCCCGCGAGGGGGTGGAGGTCCGTACAGCCGGAGAGGACAGGCCACAGTCAAATCTGGGGACGCGGGGTGTCTCCTCTGACTCCGGGTTCTTTGGGCCGGTCCCTCCGCTGGAGGAGCACGGGGTGCCGAAGGCTCTGGTCTCTCTGGTGGCTCTGGCTGGAGAGGAGAGGGGTAAGGGGGTGGGGAGTCCAAGAGGAGGAGGTCGGCCTGAGGGTCAACCAGAGGACGTTTCGCCTGATCTGCAGGAGGGGTCTGGGCCACGAGAACCCGGGAGGCTCCAGACGCCAGCCAGGGCTTGAGCCAAGGGGGAGGGTTTTGGACCAGGTCCTGCCATACGACGATATATGGCTGCTGGTCCGGATGGCCTGCCGTCCCTGACTGGAACACCTTATTCTTTACTGCAAAAATAATAGATAGGTCAAAAGTCCCATCCGCTGGCCACCCTACGCCTAGGGCTGGCCAGTCAGATGAACAGAAAGTCTGCCAAGGACCCTTCTTGACACTGACGGAGAGGTTGAATCCCCGACTCCGGACATCTTTCCAATGCGCCACTGTAAGAGAAAGAGGGGTGCTGTTTCCTTGGCCCATGTTTCCTAGATCAGAGAGAAAAAGCAGAAGACAAGAACAAAGAACAAAAAGTGACACGACGAGACACCGAACCCACACGAATTTGGACAGATACAAAACGGCCGCTGAGGGACGATATCCCTCCCTGACGCTGGTCTGGCCGGACACACGAGTGCCCGTTGCCGGACAGCCAGAAGTGACCAAGACCTCTTGGTCACTGCTCGTCCCTGGGGCGTCCCCCAGGGTGACAGTTTTTCTGGTCGAAGACCCTTCAACCAGAGAAGCCGACTCCTTACGGAGCCGACAACCTGTCATTCCGAAAAACCGAAACTGAGGACGAACAGAGGACAGAAAAAACACTGAACGACTCCGGAGTCTGCTTACCTCCAAGACCGATCTGGGCGCTTGAGGGGTGGTCGCCCCAAATCCCGGACGAGCCCCCAAATGTAAGGTCCCAAGACCCCCGGTGAGTCCGACGGAGGGGGCGACGACCCCAAGTCAAACGCAGAGACCGAAGCTTGATGCAAAAGCAAGAGGTTCTTTATTACAAGCGCAGCGCAGGGGCTCTCAGGCAGACAGACAGCAATACAAGGGAAGTGCTGGCTGACTGGAGCCCCGAGCAATGGCAAAGCATGAGCTTATAAAGGCAAAAACCACACGCAGGTGGCCTGGGGTACAGGAATTTGGGGTAACAGTTAACTCATAACTCATCTCCTGCAAGGACAGGCCTGGGTTTGTAGTTGACTCATTTCCTGAGGGGCAGAGTGGTCTGTCTTTACACAACCCGATCCCAGGAGGAGATAAGATAGCTATGCTATGACCAGACCAGAGCACCAGAGCTTACAGGAAAGGTCAGTTAAAACACAGGAGGAGGGGGGGTTTTCTCTTTGATCTTACATTAACCAGGGCTTACTGGAAAAGTTAGTTAAGAGGGGGAAGGGAGGCCTCAGCGGCCTTACAAAATCACAGAGCAATGAGAGTTGATCCACTGAGTGATAACTACCTTTCAGCATTGTCCTTGGTGCTGGGGAAAAAGCAGTGAAGGAATGAGACAAAATCATGGCTCTCATGATGCTTGTTTCCTAGTGAGGAGAGATACACATTAAATAAAACATGCTAATATTTCAGGTGGTGGTAGGTTCTATGGAGAATATTAAAGAAGGCCAAGGGCATAAAGAGCGTAGGTGCGGGCATGCACTATGTATGGGGTAGTCCGGGGAGAGTCCTTTGGTGAGATAACATTGTACAGAAACTGGAAGGAAGTCACAGGACAAACCCTGTGGAAATATGGGAAAAGAAAGTCCTAGGCAGAGGAGACCACAAATGCAAAGGCCCTGATAGAGGGGCCAGTTTTGTCTGTCTGATGTGCAATGGGCAGGAGGAGAAGGGAAAAGAGATAGGAGATGAGGTCAGATTGACAGTGGAGCCAGATCACAAAGGGCCTCGAAGGGCACCAGAAGGACTTTGGCTTTTACTTTAGGTATGTCAAGAGCCATTGACAAGTTGTGAGCAGAGGAATTACATTCTGGCTGCTGTGAGAGGAATGGAATGTAGAGGGAAAGGCTGGGAGCAGGAAGGAGGACTGGCAGGGACTGCTGATGGCCACGTGACAGTTGCCGGTCCTTTCTTACTTTAGTAATAGCACCCTGATTTTTTGGGTGGCAGCAATGTACCCAGCTGAAGTCTCTATTTCCTGGTCCTCCCTTACAACTGAACATAGTCCGGTGACTATCGTTTGGCCAAAGACTTCTAAGAAGACAATGGAGGCATTTTTGTAACACAGTTTAAAAAGGACCTATGCTGCTGGGAGGAAGTTTTCTTTCCCTCTTTTGCTTTCCCCTGTTGCCAACTGGAACATAAACATAATGACTGGAGCTCCAAGGGCCACCTTGAATCATGAGGGTGACCTTTACAATGGAAGCCACATGCTGGGTAGAACAAAACACTCCAATAGGTCCCTGATGGGAGCCAAGATGGCTCATGAACTCTGGATTGCCTATTTCTGGACTTGTTTGCACTTTCATTTTGTTTAAGCCATTGTTATTTTGAGTTCTGGGTCAGGGCACAAGCCTGGGTTTCAGGCTTGATCCTCAGTGGGGGTGCATGCAGGAGGCAACCTAGCCATATGTCTCTCTCTCTCTCTCCCTCTCACTTCCTCTCTCTCTAGAATCAATGAAAAAAATAAATAAAAACATCATATCCTAGGGTGAGGATAAAAAAATAGCAAACTTTCATTCCCATACATTTATTTTGAGATGTTTATTTCCTTTCTTCTTGTTATAACCTCATGGTTGCTCAGATTTCTGTCCTTAGGAGAATGAACAGGAGGTTTCTCAGTGCATTCTGTGAGAGAAGTCTCTAGACCTGGGGTGGTCCTTGTGAGCCCAGAGGATCTTGCACATTTTTTTCTAATGAAAAACACTCACATTATGGGGCCAGGCCTCAGGTACAGGTCCAATTTGTCAAAGGTGGTCTTAAAATATTATGAAAATTGCTTTGATCCTACCATCTTGTAGCCCCTCTTCATTAACTCAAAAATTATTAATGGTTAGGAGCCTTTTCTGGCTACTCAGTGTTTTAATTCACATTAATGAGCAATGACTGATTGCCTCAGGGGCATTCACATTTCTACAATGTGTGTATTAATCTAAATCTCTGATTCATGCAATAAATGTGAGATAAATCATTAACACTCTAGGATTTTCAGTGAGAAAGTGGGCGAGGGCAACATGAAACTGGGAAGTAGAATTTGTGCACCTGCACTTGTGAATATGTGTGTGACACTGCCCACTTCATTTACAAGTCTCTGCAGCTTACTATCTATGTGTCTCTTTACTGCTTTCAAATCAGGAACTAGAGATACTCACATATAGGTTTTGGTTCAACCAAATTATTCTTAAATTCTAAGCTGTTGATCTCAGGATCCTATTCCCTAATTTTCCGTTGAAAATGTTTCAGCTACCCCGACTTTATAAAGGTTTTCAGGACAGTCATAGAGTTATCGTGGTCCCTGACTCCTGGCTCTTCTTTCAATCTGGTTGTCAGCTTCTGGAGTGTACAGTACAGCGTGAGTAGGGAGAGAGAGATGACAAGCATCAAAAGCTGAGGTTTCCGTTTCTCACTGTGGCCGGGGCTAAATGAGCTCTATCTCACCCTCTAATCACCCTGCAAATCGTGAGACAAAGGGCCCTGGCTGGGTGACAGTTCCGTGTAGTGGTTAGTATAGTGAGCTCCAGGCTCAAACAGGTTTGAATGCAGCTCCCAACCCGATTGCTAGTAGCCCTTGTGGCCTTGGACAAGTCACTAAAGCCTCAGGTGTTACAGCTTCTATACAGAGCAGTAAATGATTCTTACAAAAAGGGTGGCTGATGAGGGCAGCCCTTTCCTGCATCGCCCATCCATTCCCATCAGCTGGTCTGTATTTGCTGCAGCCTTTCTGCCCAGGTCCAGGAGTTACCTTCCCTTGGAAGGGAGGGAGGCAGGATGAAGTGGGAGTGTAGGGTCTTTCCCTTTGCATCTGCTAGCGGCATGACCTCCTTGAGTCTCTCCGTACCCCGCACCCTTGTCTCTCTCTGGTCGCTACCGTGGATGAGAAGCTGCAGCACGAGGAACAAGCGAGAAGAAAGCTGTTTCTGCTCAGGAGTCCGGGCGAAAGCCTGGCCCTACGGGGCGCGTTGAATTCTAATTTACACCACTTGCTCTTTCACCATCGCAGCCAAGTCTTGAATCTCTATCCCAGTGCCTGTGATCGGCCGTCGGCGAACAGTTCGGGACGCAGAAGGAGAACCGAGCTTCTGCAATGAAATGCACAGTAAAAGAAGTCGTGCTTCTTCCTGCCCGTGACTGTTTACGAGAGGGAAGTCCGCGGGGCCCCCAAGAGGTCGCTGGTGGCGCAGGCACGGAGGCCAGATTGTAGCGAAAGGGGGAAGGAAAAAACACCCAGAAACTTTCTTCCTCATTGCGAATCATCGCCGCGCCCCCCGCCCCTCCCCAGGCAGAGGCAGTAACGTGACACCGGAGAGAAGCCCGGAGACCCGAGTGGAGAGAGGGAGGGGTGAGGGAGGAGAGAGGGCCGGGAGAGCCGGAGGGAGAAAGGGGAGGAGAAGGAGGAAACCCCTGTCAAGGAGGTGGAGCGAGGGGCTGGTGTCCGCCTCTCGTTCCTCCCTGCCGTTTTTCAGAGGAGCCTGAACCGGGACAAAACACGCCGACACCGACAGACACAAAGCCGGGGGGTCCACGCTGGCGCTGGAGGCGAGCCCCGGCGGCCGCGAGCGAGCCCGAGGCGCGGCGGGACCCGGGGCGCGGGGGCGCTAGCGGGCCGGGCGCGGGCAGTGCCCCCGAGCCGGGGCCGGGCACCTCGGCCGCTCGGGCCGCGGCGGCGGGGACCATGCCGAGCAAAGTCTCCTGAGCCCGGCAACTTCGGCCCCTCCCCGCCCCCACCCGGGCTGCCCTCCGCGCGGCCCTGCCCATGTGCAGCCGGCCGGCCGGGCTCTCCTCCCCGCAGGCGGATGGGTGACCTTTTCCCGGCGCGGGCAGACTGTGCGAGGCGGCGGAGCAGGCGATGAAGAAGAAGCAGCAGCATCCCGGCGGCGGCGCGGATCCCTGGCCCCATGGGGCCCCTCTGGGGGGCGCCCCTCCCGGCCTGGGCAGCTGGAAGCGCTGGGTCTCCCAGCTGCCTTTCCTGCGCCTCTCCCTCCGGGACTACGGTTTCTGCATGGCCACCCTGCTGGTCTTCTGCCTGGGCTCCCTCTTCTACCAGCTCAGCGGGGGACCCCCGCGCTTCCTGCTCGACCTGCGGCAGTATTTGGGTAAGGAACCGAGGCAGGCACGAGGATCGCCAGGCCGCGCGAAGTTGTGCCGGGGTGGGGGGCAGGGGGTTACAGAGGGGGGATTGGGACGCGCCGGGGACTTTGGATGCTCCCCCCCGCCCGCCCCCGCGAGGCTCTCCAGGTGGGACCCGCGAGGCTCTCCAGGTGGGACGCACCGGGCATTGGCGCTGCGGCCCGGGGCGCCCGCTCCCTCCTGCGCGGCTGTCCGTGTGGGTTGCCGGGCGGGCAGGTACCCCAGGGCGGGGCGCTGCATACCTTCCCACGCCTCCGCCGCCACCTCAGGGGCGGAGTGCAGCGCGTGTTTGTGGGTGTGGACCGGCGAGCGTAGATTCTGTCCTGGCTGTGCAGGGAGACGCGAGGGGAAGGCACAGCCCACCCCTGGCATTGTGGTGACCATAGTCCTATCCTGATCACAGTTCTCTCCTCCAGGTGGTGCGGGTGGGGGTAGCTCCAGGGGGTGGGGTTCTGCGAATTCTGCCCGCAAATTCTTCTCCTGCCGCTGGTCTGGGTGACCCGGGGGCAGTTTCAGGCTCAGAGCTGTCCCTGAACTGGCTTGTCCTTTGGCAGCCCCTTCTCACCCACCCCGTGGCCCGCAGCGACTGGGGCGTGGGGAGCGGGCTGTGCCCGGAGGTCTGGGCTGTCCGAGGGCGCGGGTCAGCCAGGCCAGCGATGCCGATCCTATCCGCTGAGCCGCGTGTTTCAAGCCCAACTTGTGTGTGTGTGTGTGCGTGTGTGTGTGTGTGTGTGTGTGTGTGTCTGTGTGCGTGTGTGTGTGTGTGTGTGTGTGTGTGTGTGTGTGTTTGGTGTATCAGGAGCGAGGTGAGGAAGGGGGGCGGGTGCAGAGAGAGAAAAGAGCGGCTCCAGAGAGAGGGCGTGACCCGCAGCACCGTGTCCCGCGCGGACCAGTGCACCGCTGGCTGCGTGCTTTGGCCCAGGCAGGATGCAAATCTCTCCCAAGTCTGTGGCCAGGGAGGGCTTGCGGGGAAGAGGGGAGAGGCTGGTAGGGCTCCGGCTTCCCCGCAGACCTGCAAGATGATAAACCGGAGCCACCCGCAAACATCCGGCATCTGCCTGAAGCGAGCGAGCGCGCAAGGGGAAACCGCTAATGGCCCAAAGGACTCCGGCTCCCACACTCATCCACCAAAGTCACCTGGTCGCCGAAGCCACATGTCCCGATAGTACACCGTTTTTGAAGGAAAAAAAACACACCACTTCAGCAAAGTGACAGGTGTTAGAGCTTTTTGAAATGTAAAGGCAGATAAAGTAAAGCTCTTTCCATGTAGAGAAGCTCAGCTTTTAAAAGGAACACTTCCATTTCAGTAGAAACTTTGGGGAACTGTGGTTTTTGCAAGATGCTTTAGGGAAAATTCAAGGAAAAAAATTGTCCAAGTAGATTTCCAAAGTACAGTCTTGAGCATCTGGTCTTTTAGAGGATTTGGGGTAATGCACAGTTTTATTAGGGAGCCACACCACTTCTTTCCCGGAGTTCTGTATTTTGGAGTCCCATAGCTTCATAGGCTCACAGACCCCTGCTAGTGCTACAAAGGTTATATTTTTACCAACAACAACAATCCCTGTTAACCGGCTTTGGGAAGGAGCTGGGCTTGAAGCTAAGGGGTCTTTCTCTGTAAAATCGGATAATGAATGCTTACAAGTTCCTTTTAAGCAAAATGTGGAGGCCAATGGTATAGGGAAAATACAGAAGATGGGGAAGGAAGACATCTGTGTTTAGTGCCCTGGAGAGCACTTTTGGGCAGGGTACTCAAACTTCATAGGCCTCAAGTTTTTTTAGGTACAATTAGGGGCTGGACTAAATTGTCTCACACCACTCAGCTCCTCACGTGTTATGGTTCTGATACCTCTGTTGGGGATGCACAAATCTGGGAGGAGGAAGGAACAAAGGCACCATTGATGGCATAAGCAAGAAACTTCAATATCTATCACATTAACTCTTTGGAAGTCAAATACATGTGATATCTAGAATTTAGTGCTCTCATTATATATTTCATAAAATGAGTCCTGATAAATTTGGGCTCCGTTGGTAGAAGGGTGAATTCACAGCATTCCCTCAGGGAAGTAGGAAGAATTGAAGGATTGAACATTACTCTTATTAGAACTGGCCATTAAATTTCTGACTAACTTATGGGTTAAAAATATGACATCCATGTGAACTAAATATATTGATGACCTTGGCCAAATTTGGTCCTTGTTGTTTTGTTATATAAATATAATGTGTTTTTGGAAAAGTGGGCTTTGGCTCTTTAAGAGGGTCTAAAATATATCCTTAACAATATATCTGAAGAATTAGTTTCCCCTTGTTTCCTCACTGACTTGCTAAAGGACACACAGCAAGTAAGGCAATACCTGAACCCAAATCTGTCTGCTTCAGGCACTCACTTTATAGCACTATGAGCAGTTTAAGAGATAAAATAGAAATACAGCCAAAATGCAAGTGGGAATCTAAAGAGATGACTGCCAA